AAAGGTACCAGGGGCATCTCATAGGGCCCCCTACTGACCCCGGGCCCTCGGGCAGTGCCCGAGTTTCCAAATGGTCAGTCCGCCCCTGGAGAGCACACTGAGTTCCCAGCACAGATAGAGAACTGACTGAATATGCTGTGCTTTCATGCCTAGTGTGGTCAGGGGGTAGGACAAGTCTGATTATTGGAGGAGAGCACACTGAGTTCCCAGCACAGATAGAGAACTGACTGACTATGCTGTGCTCTCATGCTTAGTGCGGTCAGTTTTTAATAGGTAAGCAGGGGGACTGGCAGGAATTCACACATTGATTTCACACAACGGAAGCAATACAAAAAGAACAAGATACGTTTTCATACCAGTACATGGTACATGAGGCACATATCAGGAATATGAAATGCTGGGTTTGCATATTCCTTAATGGCCCTGTAATTGATTTTTCATTAAATTGTTTTTACTGTATTTTTTGCCTCCTTGTAACATACTTCTGTAATGTAAAATAGATTTTTAAAAATATTTGATTTACAAGAAACTTTGATTTTATGTGATCAATTATAGTACGTATACAGGTAATTGTGGTGCATTATAGGTAATTTTGTACTGCTTCATACCTGTGTATATATCTACAGTATATATCTATGGTTATTTCTGACCCTCTGAAATTACTATATGTGTCATCACATTCCTTTCTGTTTTCACTGTTGTTTGGTGAAAGGTGGTTAGAATAATCTTCTATTCAAGGATCCTATAGTAAAATAGGTATATATAGTATATACAGTAGAAAACAAATGACTAACTGAGTTCACCCAGGGCTAAGGACAGGACACCTGGAAACAGAGGACTGTCTATTCCAGGAATTTCAAATTAAATTACAGGCTTCTCTGGATTTGAATGGTGCTGCATTTCTCTGTTTTATCATCTATAAAAACTGTTTTAAAGCAGAACTCCGGGGGGGGGGGATGTTGTCACATGCAGTGGGGCTGCACACACACTGCATGGGTTAACTGCTTGTTTTGTCTATGGGGGAACACAGACCTTATACTCACCTGATTCTCTGGAAAATGGCGCTCCCCCATGTCCATTGGTGGACTGTTTCTGCCTTTTTTACGTCCAGAGCCGGTTTATGGGAGGGATGACCAGAAACAGTCCACTAGCAACACCTCTGGGAGACAGGAGTGGCAGGGACCAATCTCAGGCTGGGATGAACAGCAGATTAGATAAGTATATCTCCCCTCTCCTCATCCCTAGACAAAGAGAGCAGTTAACCCATGTAGTGCAGGCACAGCCCCACTGCATGGAAAAAAATCCCTGAGTTCTGCTTTAAACCAACCTAAGTAAATGCCTTTATTATTGTACTACTTTTGAGTTGTTTAAATTATTGTACTACATCCACATATCTGAAAGGTTAAACATAAAATTCTGGAAGTGACAAAGTTTAACCTTTTATTGCAACATGCATGCGACATACATTCAAGGTGGAGAACAGCTGGGGGGAGTCAATGGTGGAGAAGGATCTGGGGGTTCTGGTAGATCACAAACTTAATAATGGCATGCAATGCCAAGCTGCGGGTTCTAAAACTAGCAAAATACTTTCTTGTAATAAAAGAGGTATAGACTCCAGAGAGAGAGATATCATATTACCCCGGTACAAATCATTAGTAACACCTCATCGGGAATATGCAGTTCAGTTTTGGGCACCAAATCACAAATAGGATATATGTAATAACACCAGAGATTATTGATATAAATATCTGATTGCATTCAAGGGATCATGAAAAAATTTGTTTTTCCCCCACTGGAACAAATTGAACAGCTGTATCAGCTATGGGTATACGGTTCTGTATATGGGGATTTTCTATTTTTTGTTTTGTTTTTTTTTCTATTGGTTGAACTAGATGGACTTGTTTCTTTTTTCAACCTGGGAATGCTGTATCTATCTATCTATCTATCTATCTATCTATCTATCTATCTATCTATCTATCTACAGTATCTATTATCCTTCTGTTCATTCTGAGGTCCATTATCATACCCACATCCAGGAATGCTGGCTATGGTTCCATGGACCTTAAACTTCTCGATAATATCAGCAACCATATTCAAAGGAGAATGAGGCTCTTTATATGGTTTTGTAGCCTTTACCTTACCATGCCTGTCTATTAGTCTCTTCCATTCATCATAGGGCAGTTCTTTACTTATCTTTCTCTTGTCCAAGTTGACTATGCTCCACATCATGACACATTTTTTTTAAACTTCTAAGGAGCACCAGTAATTATGTTAATATCATTTTCATTTGTGTTATGTACAAGAATACAGTATATTAGGTCACCAAGCAAAAGCAATGTTTGGTCTATGGACTATGGAATAAAGAATGTGGGTGATATTTACTTTTATCAGTTTCAACTTATTTCCCGAAAAAATTAGATTATCTATCTATCTATCTATCTATCTATCTATCTATCTATCTATCTATATATTTTATTTGCATTATCTATCTATCTATCTATCTATCTATCTATCTATCTATCATTGATTTATTTAATCTACAGTATATGCAGGGACTACAAACTTCAAAGCACGGTTTCTCAGAGGGCGCTCTCCAAAAGCATTGTTTTAAGTGTTTTTTTTACCTTTTTATATGGCAGTCATCATCTTCTGGGTGTACAGACACATCAGTGAAGTATTTCATCAATGCAGTAGGTAGTGAGCAGGCAAGGAGGTATTGATGTATGGGTAAGCCTTAGCACAAATCTTAATGCACACAGAGAATTGCAGCAATCTTGCTTCCACACTTCATCAATAATATCCATTTTGCTTACCAATTTAGAGAAAAATAGGTTTTGTTGTGTTACTATAGGTTACATCTGAATACAATTGACGCAGTACAAAGCATACAAAGGATTTTAGTTTTAGAAAATTGCATTTGTTATCTCAGTGTATTGTTCTGTTACAGCTTTTATTCCTGACATATCTGTATTTATCTTGCTGGCTTTTCAGAGATGAATTATTTTTCTTTTCCTGAAATATATGAGAAATGATTTTACTCTGGAGAAAAACAGGATACTCCTCATAACACAGTAATGAATTCTGAATAACAAAACAATTTGTGGTGCTACCCCTGCAGGGGTTACTGGTAATAGCTGGTTCTTCCCTAATAGTACAGAGGCTGCCCACCAACACAAGCATCTGTCCATTCACTCCAACTCCAGTAACTCAGTCTGGAAGATGTCTATTTGAAATGTATTGCTTGCAGAACTTTAAACAGGAGAGGGTTAGGGTATGGAATAATCCAAGATGCTGCACATAAACAAGAGGCCACTCTTCTCTAGGGTCACACTCCAGGATGCTGCTGAGAACAGGGCAATGGCCAGTACTCTGAGACTCTGAGATTCGCCTCAGTCCTCAGCTACCTCTGGGACTTACATCCCAAAAGCAAACACAGACAGCAGGAATAAATTCAGAGTCATTACTCACAAGTCCCTAGGACCGCTTCCTCTGGACACTACACTGAGAAGGACAATCCTTTTCAGACCCAATCCCCTATGGTGAAGTCCCACAGCTCCTCAGAAGATCACTCCAGGCCCTCAGCCTTGACACAGATGAAACTGAATAACAGCTACACAGTCCACAGACTACCTCAGCGAGGGGCAGCAGCTACCTAGGGCTTGGAACCCTCCTGAGGAGAGAGCAATCTCTCCTGGTCTTCAGACAATTTATCAACTCCCCAGCCACCTTCTGGATACTCATCTCCAGGGATTGGCCAGGCCATTAGAAATATTCAGGCTGGCAATCCCTATGTTCTGTAAGCTTCTTTCAGAGACAGAGGAAAGCAATAAAACTCCCAGCCTGTGAACCCCTGAACAGACCAGAACAGATAATCACTGCTCCCTTGACTGCAGAAGGAGCCAAGAACTAAATTTGCCTAGCATCCTACACTAGGAGCGTGCTACAAATTTATGCTAATTTATAAAGATTTGGCAACATTTGGATTTGGGTAATGAGAAAATGTTAAAGTGGCATGTGCAGAATGTTGGGGATAAAGTAGAGAGTGCAGATGGTTTGTATCGAAAAGTATTGTATTCTGGTAACTGTAAGGGATTAATACATGCAATCTTAGCATTCAGTCTTTGAATATCATATTTATATTAGGTCTTTATGTTTTTCTCTACCATTACAGACTAAGCTCTACATGAAAGTAGCAGTGACTGGGTTGGGACAAACTATAACATTGCCATCTCTGCATGGAAATGTTATGCTCAAATCCCATGTATCATGTGCAAGCCAGGTCCCTTGGAATACAAGACTGGATAAGATCTGTTCCTGTCTACAGGCAATTTTAAAGTGAACCTGAACTAAAAAAATGAACTGGAAATGCCTAAGCAGTACCCTGAAAAATCTAACTTTTGTGTTGAACTCCTCCTGAAAAATAGCAGTGCACTCCCTGTTCCTGTAGCTTTGTTGCTGTATATCTGCAGTGTGAGATCATCTAAGGCATTGCTGACTGCTAGTGGAATTCACTAATGTCACTACTGTTAGGCAGCCCATAGATGAGTCTTTTCTTTTTCGTTCAAACACTGTGTTGAATGCCAAAAAAATACTTGGTTTCCCCATTTACACACTCCATGTGCATGGGGGAATCCTCCCCGCTGAGCTATACAGTTCCTGCAATCAGAATATACTAATCATTGTTGCAGGCTATAGCCTGCGACACTGATCAAGCAGGGAAGATCCGACAGGATAGCGGTACAGAAGTTGAGCGGTAGTAAACAATGCCTTTCGTCTTGCTATCTCATTTAACTGCCTTGTGGATAGAGGCTGTTTTTAGTTTTTTGTTTCCTTTCTTATGTCATAGCATTTTAGCAATCTCTAGATAGCAGCTGTGAAAACTTTGTATAAAAATTCATTTTGCTTCATTTCATTTTAATTTCCATCATCACTCTTTTTCCCATTGGCTGGAATATTTTTTTTTTTCCTATCGGCTGATCCAAGTAAAAACAATGATAGTTCTAGAGCAGGGGTGTCAAACTGGTAGCCCTCCAGCTGTTGCAAAAACTACAAGTCCCAACCTTGGACAGAGGGGTGGCAGTGGACGTGGTATACTTGGACAGAGGGGTGGCGGTGGACGTGGTATACTTGGACAGAGGGATGGCGGTGGACGTGGTATAGTTGGACAGAGGGGTGGCGGTGGACGTGGTATACTTGGACAGAGGGGTGGCGGTGTGACGTGGTATACTTGGACAGAGGGGTGGCGCTGGACATGGTATACTTGGATTTTGCAAAACCGTCTGACACAGTTCCCCACACACGGCTAATGTGTAAGGTAAAGTCTACAGGCTTGGAAAAATCTGTATGTAAATGGATAGAAAACTGGCTAAAAGATCGTATTTAGAGAGTAGTGGTTAATGATTCATACTCTGAATGGTCTGGGGTGTCAGTGGTGTACCCCAAGGTTCAGTGTTGGACCCTTACTTTTTAATATATTTATAAACGATATAGGGTCTGGGATTATAAATCCCATTTCAGTCTTTGCAGATGACACCAAGCTGTGCAGTGGAATAACGTCCTTACAGGATGTCTTCAACCTACAAGCCAACCTCAATGCACTGTGTAAATGGGCAACTATGTGGCAAATGAGGTTTAATGTTGATAAATGTAAGGTTCTGCACTTGGGGGCTAAGAATATGCACGCATCATACATACTAGGGGGGGTACAACTGGGGGAATCAATGGTGGAGAAGGATCTGGGAGTTCTGGTAGATCACAAGCTTAATAATGGCATGCAATGCCAAGCTGCGGGTTCTAAAGCGAGCAAAATCCTCTCTTGTATTATAAGAGGTATAGACTCCAGAGAGAGAGATATCATATTACCCCGATACAAATCATTAGTAAGACCTCATCTGGAATATGCAGTTCAGTTTTGGGCACTAACTCACAAAAAGAACATTGGGGAACTGGAGAAAGTACAGAGAAGGGCAACCAAACTGATAAGAGGCATGGAGGAGATCAGCTATGAGGAAAGATTAGAGGAACTGAATTTATTCTCTCTTGAGAAGAGGAGATTAAGGGGGGATATGATCAACATGTATAAATACATCAGTGGTTCATATTGTGAACTCGGTGTAGAGATATTCATCCTGAGGTCATCACAGAGGACAAGGGGGCACTCTTTACATCTGGAGGAAAAGAAATGTAATCTCCAAACACGGAAAGGTTTCTTCACAGTAAGAGCAGTGAAAATGTGGAATAGACTCCCAAAAAAAAAAAACAAATTTTAAAATACATTTCACTGATGTTGTATAAGGATAATTCTCACAGTACTGCCCAGTGACAGACCATGGAGAGGGTCATTGTGATGAAGATGTTATTGTGATAATGCCCACCTGCCAAGCTCATGCTCCCTGCTGAAGAACCCTATCTGGGGATGTGGCACAGCTCAGCAGAGAGAAAGCTGATTCCACCGAGCAATGGTCCTGCTCTGCAGCATGCTGGCAAGACACAGGCTTTTCTACTCAGGCTGTGACTGCTTTCTAGTGAAACAAACTGTAAAGTTGGCCATAGATGTCTATATTTCTTTTGTTCAGCCCGCGAGCTAAACAAATGAAAGCTAACAGATTCCTCCATCCATACTGACAGCACAGATGGATGAATCCCACCTGTCATGCTATTGTATTTGACACCCATGGCTGTCAGAAATTAATATTTGAATTGTGCTTGCTTCTGACTGGATGCAGGCGCTGCTCGGCCAACATTTTTCCAACAGGCTTCTTCAACAAAAGTCAGGCCAGCAGGAATTGCCTGAAATTCGAGCATTGTTTGACCATCTTACATCTTAGTTCCCATCTGTGTGGGCATGTTTGCGCACACATATCCCAGGTAGGGCAATCTATTCATTTCAGTAGGCTGCCCGACCCTTTATTGAAATCATGCTGCCCCATGAACTTCTGCAGATACATGTAGGTGCCATTCAGCAGTTGTTGCACCCCTGTGCATCTACTAAAGTGCAGTGCATTTTTCTGCATGTTGGGAATGCGCACAGTTTTTCATGCATTCCCAGCACACAGCAAAGTGAATTGAACCAAGTCTTAGGTTCCATTCACACTAGGGTGGTTTAAATCGAGGGCACCTGAAAACGCAGGGTGTTTTTCTGCACAGCAAATGAACTGCAATCGTGAAAACGAAATTGTGTGATGCACAACGCCCCAAAAAAGATATTGTTTGCGTGATCGCAGCATGTTTGCCATGTGGAAAAATGCGCCACATACGCTGCAAAAAAGCCCTGCGTTTTCAGGTGCCATTGAAATGAAAAGCTCCTGACCACACGATCGTGTGTTTTCACACTTTCACATCGCGTTTTCAAATTGCGGGCAGAATCGAGGCAATTCCGCCTGAGATTTTAAACACCCTAGTGTGAATAGAGCCTTAGACTTTACACCCTTTTTGTTTAAGCACCTGGAATGCATTAAAGTGATATTAAGTCCAAAACCCCAAAATGTAATATGTTGCAGCTTACCAATACTTATATATGGTGGCTGCATTAGTTTTCTTTTTTAGGCTTTTCCCCTCTATTTTCACCTATTGATCTGGCCAGTAACACACCTCCTGTATTGCACTCTGGATGAAGGAGCACAGGGGGCACAGCAGGCATCAGTATTGTCAATCAGGGGGGACAGGAGTGTTAGATGTACCAGCAGATTTAGATACACTAACAAATTGAAGCCAAACTCCAGCTCACACTGCAATTACAGAACCAGTTACAGCAACAGTTTGTTTTCTTTTGGGGTAAAGTCTTTGCAAGAATAAATACAAATTGATCATTGTAAGTGATGCTGTCAGTGGTAAATGGTTTGTCTTATCTGTCTAACTGATACATTTGCAGGAGAGCTTGTTCTGTTGAAAAACAGATTTACTGGCTGGATCACCAGGTGAAAATACAGTAAAGAGAGCGTTAAAAAAAAAAACTAATGTAAACTGTCACATGTAAGAACTGGTACACTGCAATGTAATAAATGTTTGCTTTTGGGGATAATACTGTATTAAACTTATTGAAACTAAAAGTTAAGTTCTGCTATAATGACAATGTAGATTTGAAGACTGATTTCCATTTATAAAGAAAAGATTCAGCCTGGGTTCACACTGATGCGGTGTGGAATTTGCAGAGGTTTTTGTTCGAATTATGCACTGCATCACAATCACACCCCATTCATGCAAACCGCTGCAGGTGTGTATGTTAAATTAACAACACCCCGAAATTGGTCCACAAAACGCGGTGCGATGTGCAGAATCAGATCGTATGGTTGTGAATACCCATGCGATCCGATTGTAATGCAGACATTTTTGGTGCGGATACGGTGGGATTTGAGCCATACAAAATGTATGGCTCCAATTGCACCTCACAGAATTCGCATGTGATTTGCACAGGAATGCGGTGCAGTTACTGTACAAATCACATGCGATATACCGCACCGCACAAGTGTGATCCCGGGCTCAAGGAATAATTACAAGTCAATTTTTCAATTTACACAATAACAAACAATTCCAGGCTCTCTGCTTGTAAATTGGTGTTTAATTCATAACAAAGTATCAGAATCTCCATAACGTTACATGGAAACATTTTCATTTTGATAGAATAATCACATAATATCAAAGTCATAAAACATGCTCCTTTGTGTTGTGTATGTGAATTCGATTCACTTTTGATATCAGCTCCGATTTATTAGTTTCCCATACATTATTATAGCAGAAAGGAAGCAAAAGAGGAAATTAATAACGTTTTTGCTTGAAAACCATTCATCTATGTCTGAAAAAATGATAAAGCCACAGAGGAAAGATGAAATCACATCTTCACACAGCCCGGCAGAGCTTGGTCGAATATGTAAGAATAGTACAGCTCCTATTTCATGTATGTCCTACAAAGATTTATTTTTATTAATACATTGGAGGCAATCTGCCACCCACACAGCCTAAATCTACTTGTGGATGTTAGATACTGGCTGGAAGTGATAGATTGGGTGTAATGGACACAACCCCCCATCTGCTCCTTCTTAAAGTATAAGTTTGCGGTATCGGCATTGGTGCCAATACCATGTATTTTACTTGTACTCGTGAAAATGATTACCTTGATCGATACTTTGCAGTGCGATTTGCGTTAGTGGATACAAATTGCACCGCAAAGATTGGCATGCGATTCCAGTCCGAATCGCATGCGATTTCCCCACTGCTCCTGTGTGAATCCAGGTTTGTCATAGCCCGGGTTCACACAGAAGTGGTGCGGGAAACCTCCCTGCAGGCATTCCATGCTGAGTCTCAGTGGTAGGAGAGGAGAGAAACCCGCAGGCATTTGCAATCCCAATGGCTTTCTCTCCTCTCCTACCACTGAGACTCAGCATGGGATGCCTGCAGGGAGGATTCCCGCACCACTTCTGTGTGAACTCGGGCTATGACATGCCAGGATTCACACTGGAGCAGTGGGGAAATCGTATGGGATTTGGACAGGAATCGCATTCCTGTTCAAATCGCATGCTATTCTTTGCGGTGCAATTTGCATCCATTAACGGAAATCGCACCGCAAAATATTGGTAATCGGTATTAGCGAGTACTTGACCGAAAGTATCAGTACTCGTACTCGCCAATAAAAAAACACGTATCCGTGCATCCCTACTTTACACACAACTGAGAAACAAGAGAACACAGAAATAAAAGGTAACAACTAGAAAATATATTCAAGTTAAAGAGGATCTTTACCCTGTAAACAAACATTTAAAAATCAGCAGCTACAAATACTGTAGCTGCTGACTTTTAATGGAAGAAAAATATATTTGAAATTTATTTTAAAAATATTCTTCCCAAATATATTGAAATATATTTGAAATGCTACAATTTTGGCCATATTCTATATATTTCAAAATATATTTCAATATATATCTATCTATATATAGATAGATAGATAGATAGATAGATACTGCATGTTGAAATGCGTTTTTATTACAAAATATATGACAAATATTTTTAAAAATACATTTCAAATATACGGTATGTCTTTAAAAATACAAATCTACATTTTTGGAATGCATTTACAAATATATGTAAAAATATATGTTAAAATTAATTTTTTATATTTAAAAAAAAAATCGGAAGAATATATTTAAAAACAATTTTTTTTTAAATATATATATTTTATAAATATATTCTTCACTTTTTTAACATATAAAAAAGTCATTTTAACATATATTTTTACATATATTTGTAAATGCATTCCAAAAATGTAGATTTGTATTTTTAAAGACATACAGTATATTTGAAATGTATTTTTAAAAATATTTTTCATATATATTGTAATAGAAACGCATTTCAACATGCAGTATA